CTAGTCTAGCGTGCGGCGAGGACCTCATTGGCGGACAACAACCGCACTGACATCGGTTGCTTAACTTTACGTTGCCCTTCCAAAGATCATCAGGAAGGCGTTGCGTAACATTACATATGTTATCCAAATTGGTCCAGGCATGTACAACCGCCCATCAAATTTTAGACGAATTAAAAGATTACATTTTATGAGCTAAATTTGACATTATTAAAAATGAATACTAATAACTAATTTTGTCATGGAGTTAGAGTTAGGGATGGATGGGTGAAAGCAAGGTTGACGTTTGGACATGTTATTTGTCTGATATTCCTGCACAAATAGTGACGAAAATGACAAATATAATCAAAAGAAACCTATACGGACAAATCTTACCGTTCCATATGTCCCAGGTAGTACCTCAATCTCTGAATTATCGTAAAATATTTTGTCTAACTTATATAATACTACGTAGCAATGTATCGTAACCTATTTAATACTAGTACTTTTTACTATCTCCAATTATAATTTGTAGTTTGGTACTGTCAGACTGTCAATATATGGATTCGTAGAACCCATTTAGAACCGAATGGATGCTCGAAAAGTTAAAACCAGTATGTATGTTTTAAAAATTGAATTCTCACCTTAGTACCCCTAACCAAATAATACAGTTAAACTCAATATAGCGAGTAAGATCACATATTGGCCATCTCTGCACTATAAGAAGACCAAATCTGATTTTGCTATGAGGCATATCATGGTCATGCTCTGCCAGGGGCGGACCCAAGTGGTGAGAAGTGGGTTCAACTGAACTCGCTTCGTTAAAAAATAATACTGTGTATATGTATAAATTATGGTTAAAGCAAGGTAAATTTTGTATAGAAATTATTTTTGAATTCGCTTATGTTAGTTATGGACTTCTCCGACTGAACCCATTTGCACAAAATCCTGGGTCCGCCACTGTGCTCTGCCCTATCGGATAGGAGTAAGGTCTGCGTACACATTATCTTTCTCACACCCCACTTTGTGGAATTTTACTGGATAATTGTTATTGTTGTTGTTGCATATCATAGTCATGGATGACTTATTGAAATAGAGTAGCAAAAATAAAAAGTAGAAACTAGATAGGCTAGGTTGTGCTACGCATATCTGTCGGTCATTCAGCTACTAGTTCTTCATCTTCAATGTATGTCTAGCATTAATTTTTCATATTTTCACTTGAAATTGGGACTTGACAAAAAGAAAACGGAAAATATTACTACTACCTACACACACAATCATATGAACAATAATCCAACGATCGCATTAGTAGAAGATGTAGACTTCAAAAATAATGCAATTTTTAGTTCTAACCATTATTTATAAATAGTTGAAAGATACATATAGTGATATAGATACAATAAATGTTTGCTCACTATCATAATTATTTAAAGAATGTAATTATACTTTATATCCATTGAGTAAAACAAATCGGATTGGTTTGTGTCAATGAACTTGTGGACTTACAGAAACCGGCTTGTCTTAATGATAACCACGTACGTTAAATGAACCATTATTGGTTTTGATTTGATATACGAACAGTTCAACTTTAAGATTGATAGGCTTAGGAATAATAAACGCTATAGTGTCAACAGTATCTGTTTATACAAATTCTAATAAATTTCTTGCGCATTCAACACAAGGTCCCATGTAAACAAAAACACACACAAACAAGTAAAAGAATCTCTTAGTAAATTCAACCACTATCAATAATATACAATTGCTCAGCAATTTGGTACGAGAGATAAGAAATAATTAAGCTCAAAAATTAAATTTAAGATGAATTTATACCGGAATAATTAGTTATTCCGGAATGAATAATCTATTTCCAACAAAACGACCCCTAAGGATACTAATTATTTTCTTATATATAAACACGATAAATTAATATATAGGAGTATTATAATTATAATTGGTAGTGCTTTAAATGTTTGAATTCGACAGAGAATCAACATGCATTTAAACCATAATAAAAGACGTAGACAAGTGGGAGGAGCTCATACAGTCACAAACTCAATCATCCATACCCTCCAAAAAGTTTAACCCTTTTTTTGGATAAGCTCCTAGCCCTTGTCTATCACCATCTCTCTGTAACTCTTAAAAAATAGTGTAATTTTCCCATTAAATGCAGACATAACTTTTTCTTCTCAGCATTTCAACACAGTTACTCGCCCCCTCTCTCTCTCTGTATTAAATGACCTCCACAGGCCCAATAAACATAGTAGCAGGCACCGCATTAATTTCCCTCCTTCTTCCCAATGTAAATTAATGTCGCCTGACCCCATTCCCCCACCCCCCACGACCTCGATCACCGTCCCCCCATAACTACGATCGATCGGACGGTTGTCGTTTTCCCGAAGTTCATTAATTCCTCTCCATGTGATCTGATTTCATCTTCACCGTCTGTTATACCTGTCCGGTGACAGTAAGGCTTCTGGATCACCGCTCCTTAGCCGGCTCGACGAGAATACTCCTCCCGTCGCCGATGTTCTCATAAACATCGGACTCGCGAATGATTTGCTTCTTCTCGAAGAACCTCCGCCAGTACTATATCTCGCGCTTGACTCCGATAACGGGAAGAATCCACCTCTGGTCCGCCGGAAGAACGGCGATTTCATTCCTCTGTAATATCGGAACGAGAATACTCGTGGTTTTGTTAACGAGCTGAACGGTGAAGGTCTTTTGCTCCAGAAGCTTCCTGATCCTATTGCTCTGCGGTACCGCCATGGCGAAGCTGTTGTTGCTTCAAGTATTAGTCTCTCGGATCCTAAATTCCTCTCAAATCCGAAGGAATAGGATCGTTTTAGCAATATATCACGTCCGCTGAATCTAATATCCTCTGATTGGATCATGTTTCTCCTTGGTGACGGTTCTTGTGTGATCTCTGAGAGCGTTGTTGTATCCGATTCTGGCTGAATTTCAGCTAAAGGCTCTAGAATTGTGTTCTCCACCAGCATGTCATCCAAGCTCGGGCGTATCCTTGCAGCCATTAAGGGAGTGAACGGTGACTCTGGACGGAATATTCCGGCACGACACAACGGGCAATTCGCGTGTGATTTGAGCCATATATCAATACAGTCCACGTGAAACGCGTGTGAACATACTGGAAGCGTGCGTACATAGTCATTCTCTTCGAATTCCAGTAAGCACACCGCACAATCGTGAACGCTGCTTTTTCGAGTGTGGACTGAAAGAGGAATTGTTTTGATAACTGAATCGTCCAGTCCATAAGGAGAGAGCACGTGGAAAGCATCAGTAGGATCAAACGGATAAGGAGGCGACTCGATATCGCCGGCAGATGACGCAACGTAACGTCGGCGACGGCGACGCCACAGTCTATAACGGCCATGTAGACGGAGCAGATGGCGCGACAGGAGCCGCGAGTAGGTAATGATGACGAAAGCAGTAGCGATAATAACGACCATGGCAATCAAAGGTGGACTGAAATCAACCGGTTGCTTAGACGGCGGTGGAGTAGTTGATAAGTCTGACGTCGACGCTGACGTTGATGAAGTTGGCAATGTCGACGAACGATAAAGTGGCCGCGTTGAAGGTGATGGAGCTTTCTGAGTATTGTTATGGTGAACCGCCGGCGGCGCCGGTGACAGTGACGGTGACGGAGCAGGAGCTTTATGGTGGAGCATGATGAGCTGCAGGGCAATTAACTGAAATGGAATTGGTGCTTTTATTTTATGTGCTCCTTTATTGAGGGGGTTTGGTTAATGGGGGGAATGTGTGTGTAATATGCAAGTAAATGTTAGTGCGTTTTTTGTGTTGTGGGTTTTGAGAGAAGAGTGTGAGTGATTTGTGGTGCTTTCACGTCACTGTTGCAAACTTACAATTTGTTGACGAAGTTTGTATAGGAAGGACACGTCACCATTACTGAATTTAATGCGCGGGATTGTCCCACTGGAGTGTACTTGACTTTCTCGTTTCTATTGCTGATGTGGTGATATCTTATTGGCTGTTGACGGTCAACGAACTGAATGTATTTGATGGACGAGAAAATATAAGAGTTTTTGAAGTGAGCAGCAGCATCACAATCGCAGATTAAGATTCGAAAAATTAGTACTCCTAAGTTTGTTTGGTAGAAACTTCAAGTCAAATTGATTAGTCTATTAACTTTATTATAGTAATATAGATTAAGAAAAAAAATATTAGCAATGGAGATGTGCGATTTAATTGTGAAGTGGAAATGAAGAAAAATGGGAATAAAACAACAAAATTAAAAAACAAAAAATTAGGATGGAACTCCAAAAAAGCTATGCTTCTTTAGTCTTGAAAAACACAGTCCATTAGACTAATATTTGATTCATAGAAACTGGATACTGGAGTTTACCTAGGATTGGCAAATTAATACAAGATGGAAAACCATGGGAAGCAAACAAACGATGCTCACAAACTGGTTTAACAATTGAAATTTCATCTCTCCCTTTCATGACCTTCTCCTACGGTGTTAAAGTTAAATAATTATGTATTGCCAAACTTTTGATTTGTAAGTTTAATATTGCTATCCAATAAAAGTTTCTACTGGAATATTAATCCTCCATCTTGTATGTAAAAAAGAAAAAGGCTTGTACTTTCAAGTCGCAACGTCTCCTCTTTACGATTTGAATCTTGAAATTCAAGTCCCTTCGACTGGGATGGTCTCCAAGTTGAAAAATAAAAAAAGAAACTATTTTTTAGAAACTTATTTTATGGTCAATAGAGCAACTACCATACGTTTACCTTTTAAAGAGTTTATTAAATACCAAAGGCACAGTTTATAAAATTTCAAAGCCACTCCTTTATACTTTGAAAGGATTCAAATGCCCTAGCAAATCTCATGTTTTAATGTCTCTTGTTAGTAAAAGGATGAAGTAGCTCAATTTCAAATCAAGTCTGAGATTAAAGAACGAAGGTAGGTCGAATGACCAGTTGGCAGTTGCTACAATGTCTCGAGAGCACGATTTGCATCTCTATTTGATTTCTACCATCAACTTTGCATGCCAACAACATAAACATCTCATTACTCATGCTTGGGTGTCAAAATAGTTAAAAGAAAACAGTTAACCATCCATATTATTCACTAAAAAATGGGTTGGATAATGAACTTTTTAAAAACGGGTTAAATATGGATAAGAACCATATTATCCATTTAGAATGCGTCTAACTTTTATATTTGTAAAGCCTCAAATTGGGGTTTTCTCAAATTAGGGAGACTAAGAATTCTCCCAAAAGTGATCATATGCAAGAAGTCATAGATAATATGGTTACCCATATTATCCGCCGGTTAGCCCGATTTTTATCCGTATTAAATATGAGTCGGGTCGGATAATTTATCCGTTTTTTCATTACCCGTTTTGACCCGAACCATATCTGACCCGCCCCGCCCGTTTGCCACTCCTACTCATGCTATCAATCTTTTTTTAACCTCACCTCCAACCCCTCAACCTCTCTTTATCACTTATGCTATCATATCACTTATGCTATCATTAATCTCTAACTCCCATCGTCATAGAGTTCATAATATTCTATTAGTTAGAAGTGTTTTAATTTAATTAACAAGACACCACCACTGTCACTTATCAAGTAGAGACTCACAGCCACAAACAAGGAAAACCACAACAACAATAATAACATACCTAATCTATTTTCACAAATAGATGTTTAACGAGAATAATGTGTATGCTAACCTTACTTATACCTTGTGCAGGTAGAGAGACTGTTTCCGATACCCTAACCTCAGGTAAGCACAAACAAGGAAAACCACATCTAAAAGAATTTGCCATCTAGGTATCCTACAAATGACTATTCCATTTGGTAAAATGTCGTCATGTGAAAACTATATTGTATAGTCATTTCAAAATCTAATAGTAGTCGGCAGAATATATATTTTTTTGCATACCAAGATATAATATACATATTTTAAATTCTAACATTTCAGTTTCACTTTTAAACACGATAATGGTATTGCAATTTGCAAGAATCAGATTCATTAGAAACCTAACGGGTCGACTAATAAAGTCACATAAGACCCGGCCCAAGAATTTTGTATAATTAAATTGGGCCTGAAGCCCTGTGCGACCATCACTAAATACACAAGTCTAAAACCTCACCGTTACCTACTTTTCAGTTGGAATCTAGGGTTTTTGGATCGTTCAATCTCAATTCTCAGAGGAGCAAAAAAAAAAGCAACAATGTTTCCAGGATTGTTCATGCGTAAACCTGACAAAGCAGCTGCTTTGAAGCAGCTGAAGACACACGTGGCCTTGTTTGGTACTTGGGTCGCCGTGATTCGGGTCGCCCCATACATTCTCCACTATTTCTCCGATTCGAAAGAAGAACTCATGCTCGAACTCTAGGTTCTTTATTCTATTTGCTCCTCTTTCTTCTCAGGTAAATATTTCCTTATGATTATACGATTTTCAACTTAATTGGGGTTATTAGTTGAATGTATGCTTAAAAAATTTCTCCTGACAGTGGTAATTTTACTTGGATAATTATTTACTATTATTATCTAATTGTACGCGAGCGAAGCTTAGATAGTTCCAAGAACAGATAAAGGATGTGGTAGGATAAAGCTTAGATTGTCTCATCTTGTTTGGAATAAGAGGCATAGTTAATTAATTTATTGATAGCATCTGCATATGTATTTTTGCTCAGTTTGTTTTTCATTAGTGAAATTGATGTTATGGGCTGAGTTGAGCTATGGTTCTCCTTCAAGTATGTCCCTCTTGCGATTTGACTAAATTAATTTCACTTGGGAACGACAGCCATCAGTTATTCATAAGAATCTTTCAATTTCTTATTCGCGTATCCAAATTAACCTACTATCGATGCGCTTACCAAATTAAGATTAATAAGAATGCATTGCAAATAGATATATGCCTATTTCATCCACGAATTAGTTCTCGGACACCTGGGTTCGTGAACTTGCATAGTTTATTCCAAATCAACACTAGATTATCTTTTCCATGTTCAAGATAGGTTTTGTAGATAGTATTCAATAGTTAGTTGCCTATTGAATAACTAAGAACAGAAATAAACAAATAACCCTTGGTTAGCGAAAATCAATTCATTCAAACATAATTGGATCATAACATTCATGCTCAGGTTCCATAACTCTAGATAAAGGAAATCAGTCAGAGGTGCCTACTTCCCCAACAATGCTCCCAAAATTTTCTCTACCGTGTTAGGGGAATATTACAACTATTTAATGTAGGAGGGGAAAGAGTCCTAGACTAACAAGGATTCCCAAAATTGTTGCTACCATGTGACTAATTGGCGCTGCTTGAGTGCTAGGCTCAGCTAGTGGCGCTCTCCGATATTCCAATCATTGGCTGTTATCTTCACTTTAAATGCCTGGTTATGTGCCCTTTTGCTCATACCATGTACCTAAACAAACATCATCACATAAGTGCTATAACCATCCTAATTTATGCTGAGAATTAATAAATTCACTCACCAAAAATATGGGAATAATATATATTGACTCGCTATTCACTCGGTTTTTGGGTCATAATCATTATGTAGGAGAGATGCTTGAGTGGTTAAGGCATAGCAATGGAATTGTAATGTAGGCTTTTGTTTACCAAATCTTTACCGTATTAAAAACAAATGTAGTCTTATGTTTACTTAGGGTCCGAATCCCTCTCTTTCCACACTTTCACCTAATTCACAAATGCTTTTATATGTATAACTCATTACTAAGCTATGCAACCTGTATCAGTCAGAGTTACAGTCTGTTACATAGTTGTTATTTGGTGCGGGAATTCATTTTTTTTTTTGGCACTGTAATTGACCAACTGAACCCAGTTGGTTTGGTCTTTTTTTGTTTTGGTTAGCAGCTGAAGAATGGATTGATTGTTAAGAATGAATATTCATACAAGTGTCCTTTCGCAACCAGGCAAGGGGACATCTATTAAAATATTCAATTTGGGATGAGTTGGTTTACACAATTCATATGGTATTAGAGTGAGCCAAAGTTTTAACTTTGAGCCTTGCGGCCACTCACCCTCAGATAAGATTTTAATGGGCTAGAAAAGATGATCCAGTCTTCAAGGAAAATTGTCCTATTCTTTAATAGTTTAATCCTTTAGATGAAATGATTTCACACAAAACACTCTTAAACTTGATCCTATGTAGTATTACAGAACTTGAAGTATAAGCTAAAGGTTCATGTTATGCTGGACCGCAATTTAGCATTAATCCCTGTGCACTGTTGTTGGATTGTATGTACTAGCTAAAGGTTCATGTTGGAAAGTCTCTGTAGTCGTTATCGGAACTAGTCTTCCTTCGAAGCTCAATGTTCTGTTGATACTTGATACAATTACATTATGCACATTCTTTGGCGCCCTTGACAGTTGACACTAAGCTGTTTCTTTGTTGATTAATCGAACTTAGATTCTGTGTGCTTAAATCAAGTGCTGTTATTGTTTAAACTCACCAATTCATTCTTTTTGCCTTTTCCTCTGCAGCTTCTCTCGAGGAATGAATGTTCATCAGGAGGAGCAAATATTTTGTATGCACCTATAAACGTCTCCCCTCTGCGGTTACCCTATTTCTTTCTCGTCCTTTCATTACCATATGCCCCTATTCTGAATTTGTTGACATGTAATTGGATAACGGTAACTTAGTTGTTTGAGATAAAAGCTTGTAGGGAACCGGTTTCCCCTTGTCACTTTTTGTGATACATTTATCATTTTTTTGGGTTTACTGTTTGTTTCTTGAGTCTAATGTGCTTGATCGTTCAAATGCATATCATTCAGAGTAACTTCGCTTATATGGTCCTAAATGTTTGAATGTGCTGCACTCGTTTTCATAGGAGAGAGAGCACACAATTTTTTTGTATGGAGAGGAATGAAATGGGAAAAATAGATCCCTCTTTTAATGACAGGCGATGTGTATGGAAATTTCATGTAACACTAATTAGTCAGAAGATGCTAATTAGCCATGTGGAAAATTTGATTAAGATCTTTAAATACATGATGACATTCGTGCTTGGCACCAAAAGGGTGTTTTGGTAATTTTAGTTAAAATGGAGCAATATGATTGCTTAAAATGGAACTTTACTGTAGTTTCAACGTAAACTTTTGAGTGTTTTGACTAAATTGCCCTTGGGCTTATGTCATCAAACATCACCACACATTTCTACGCTCCAATCCCTCACGTGGGCCTCATGTCCCACCCAACTTTCCCCCTAATAGTTTAGTGATGCACCTAGAGGTTCCATTTATCTTTCCTATTTCTTCGTTTGATTTATATTATTTTAGTGTTAATTGATCGGGGTAACTAGTATGTGATATTTAGTATTATTTATTCAAAAAAAATAATACTTCATAAATTTTAATATCTAAATGTGAATTTTTTACTTTAATTATCTCAAAAGTATACTTCTTTGTTGATTCTTTCTTGGCAACTAAAATATTATTTTCTTTCACAATAATTTACAGAAAAAGATTTATAGTTTAATTAAAGCTAATGTAACTTGTGAAATTGTAGTTATTTTTGTTTAAATAAGTCTTTCTCATTAAAATAATCCCTATTAAATTTATTGGCATCAATTCTATTGAGTTATCTCTTACATTGCATATATATTGTCTGTCAACATCGTAATTTTTACTTTATTATTGAAATCTTACATGATCAAGCAATTAAAAAAATGAACATTATTTATTAGTCCATCTAGAAGACATATAAAACGAGCATTTTAAATTTATAATAAAGCATAATATTTATTAATAATGACGTCATAAGGAAGAATAAAGAATAAAATATACAATAAATCGCAAATTACTATTCCCTCCGTTTCAATTTATGTGAACCTGTTTGACTGGGCACGGAGTTTAAGAAAAAATGAAGACTTTTAAAATTTGTGGTCCTAAACAAATCAACAAGGGATCGGGAGTATTTGTGTGATTATAAAAGTTTCTCATTAAGGGTAGAATTGTAAGTTTAAGCTAAATTGTTTTCAAATTTATAAAGGGGTCATTCTTTTTGGAACGGACCAAAAAGAAAATAGGTTCACATAAACTTCAACGGAGGGAGTACAATATACTATGCAGTAAGAAAAATGAAAGCAAGAAAGTATGCAATAAGAAGGGAAAAAGGGGAAGGAGTACAAGCAATTGCACTAACATCAAGAAGACTCTATAGATAAAACAATAAAAAGGGTTAAAAAATTCACAGTAAGAAAATGCATGCAGTAGGCAGAAAAAAAAGGTAAAAGGAGCACCGGGGCTAGAATTAGGAGCAAAAAGTACGCTCTGAGAGACAAATCTGAGGAGGAAAAGAGTTTTTTTAAAATATATTTAAATAGAAAAAAATAAGATTTGAAATATCATATGGTAATTATACTATATTATTACCATTAATTCTTTATCGCCTTTGATAACTGCAAAGTGTAGTTACCTCATTTTAATTATGCATAATTTTATGTGGACTAAATAATTAAATATACAGACAAATATATTAAATTGTGTAATTACATTAAACTACACTCAAATTCAATTACATAAAAACTTTCGGAACAAGCACTGAGAGTTTAAATATTTGAGCTTCAAACGTGCTAACTGCTACTAGTATCTTGATAAAGCAGAATCTGGATCGGATTTAATATTAAAAAGTTATCAGGCTAAACGTATATAAAGCCAAAGAGGGAATAGATACTCCACTAACAAAGAAAATAATATGAACCCAAGTGTAAACTATTTCGATCAAATTGACGACCTCATCATACTTATATTCTCAAAGCCAAGTGTCTTTTTAGTTTTGCACCCTTTGTTCTACTGCTTTAAATATTTTGAACCAACCTCGTGAGATGGACTTGTGTCATGTTAAAAATTGAAGGGTTCAAGTTCGTCTCCTTTGCGTTTGCCTTTGTTTAAATTTACAAATACTATTCTTGATTCGCATTTGTGTTTTCCACTAATCTTGTGTGCGGTTCATGGTGGGTACTGCTTAAACGCTGACTTAAACAACTCCAAATAATTTATGGCCGTCTCTTCAAACAGTTAAAAAGAAAAAAAAGATAGACGAAAAGAATATAAAGGAGAGGTAATATGCAATTCCACTTGTCAAATCCTTTGCACAGGTTTTGAAAGCTTTCTTCACACCCTACGTTGAAAAGCATTATGCAATATCATGCACAAATTCCCTACTTCAAAACTCGTTTAACAAATGCAAAGTAGCCCTGTTTTTGCCCACAGGAAAATAAGTACACCATTACAACAACAATGCAAGAAGACAAAAAACAAGTATCCATTGCCAAAGATTCTTGAAAATGTCAAGCTTATAATCAAGTAAATAGCCTGAAGTTCTCATATTATCTGCTGTCCATGAAAATCTTGGGGAGGCAAAGATTTGGAGTCATACCTGAAGATCATGATGAAGTTGGGCAAGAGAGGAAGTACTTACAATTGTCTTCGTCGTAATCATCTTCAGAAATTAGAGGGTGCAGTGAACATAGATCATATTGTAGTTCTAACAGCGAATGGCCATGGATGATGAAATACCAGGAGCTGTGGGGACAAGCGCGAGCTTTGCTTTGAGATTAGGGCAAACCATCTTCTCCGCTGCTTCTCTTTTGTTCATGTCTTTAGGAGTTGAGTTCCACAACTATACTGCCTTTTGGTAATTTCTCTTCCTTTGTACCACTCTTTGTCTACTCATATTCTTTTGCTGCATAGAATAATCTCCCCATATGCAGAGGCGGATTCAGGGTCTCATTATTTTCAGCTCGAACTATATACATATATGTGCAAAATTTAGACTATATACATGTAATAAAATCACATACATTCGGAACCAATTGACTTTTAGATCTTGGATTCGTCTCTGTTCATATAATCTCCATGTATGCCTGTTGACTAAGCACATGACTAGCAAGAGTAGAGATAATAAATATCAAAGAATTGCATCAACTGACAAGACATTTATTGCATGACCAGTGATAGGTTACGTTGAAATGAAAAAGAAAAAATTTCTATAAAATTCATCAGAGCAGGCATCTCAATTTGCCTTGTACAATATTGTGATCCTCTAAATGTTCTTCTACAGCTTGTTAGTAACAATCATGGGTTTGGTCATCCCCTGGAGCATTACTTTGGCGATGATTGACATATACTCGGTCTTGATCCATTGCCCCATTCGCCAGCCAGGGATCCTACTCTTCATTGTTTTAGGAGATTGGGTATGTCCTGCTCTTGAATCTGTGAAAGGCTACACATTAAATACTTATGACTAAAAATCAAACACTTTACAGACATTATCATTCCTCACCCTAGCAGCAGCTAGCTCAATTGCTGGAATAGTGGATCTTTTGCACAGGACAGATGTAACATTCTGTACTCCTGCCGGATTATGCAGCAGATATCAGATATCTGCTGCATTGGCCTTCTTGTCATGGTTTCTCTCCACTGCCTCATCTCTTTCCAATCTTTGGTTGCTTCCTTCTCTGTCAAGATGATCAGTTTTCCTATGTGTGGTTGCATGCAAGTATCTGATATACGGGTATGTCAATTTTGTTTTTGTTGTATCTCACTTGAAGTATGTCACCACAAATGAAGAGAATGTTGGGGAGCTATTAATTATGTTATATGGAACAGTATAATAACTTGTTATTAGTTAGAGATATATGTGTAACAAATAACCTTAGAATACCAAGTCGATCAACAGTGACTTCCGTACAGATAAACTAGCTAAATTAGAATGGACAATCTAGCTACTCCTTTTTCCTTTGATGTATCCCACAGGTTATATGAATCATGTATCCATTCAGCTCTATTGATCGCTCATTTTATACAGGTGTACCTGCTGCAATGAATTTATTATTTAGAAGATTTATTATAATTAGACTATGCCATCAATTTACCGCTACTCTCTTCATTTATCCAGCTTCAGAAAGGTCAAGTTTGCGAACATGCATCCATAAACCAAGCGACTACTTCGTCTCAGTCATTTCATCGAAAATCAAAGTGAAATCACGACGTTGTTCTAACTTTGGGCTGCTTCAATGAATTAGAAAGATGAAAATAGCACGGGCTAGCCAGTTTTCGGACTGGTAATTGAAAATAGTCAACATTTGCAAAGTCATTGAAAATATAGCCACTATTTTGCTGCAACACAAAAAGTTCCGGCATAATATACTGGAGATTGGTGCACCTGTGTATGAACTTCCAGCATATTATGATGGAACTCCAGCACACAGGAAAGTTCCATCATAATATACTGGAGATTGGTGACCTGTGTATGAACTTCCAGCATATTATGCTGGAACTCCAGCACACGGGAAAGTTCCAGCATAATATACTAGAGATTGGAGCACCTGATGTTGGAAGTTCGCATGTAAAAACTTCAAACTCCAGCATATTATGCTGAAATATTTTTCGGATTTTGAACATTGTTTTCATTCAAATTTATCTTTACATAAAAAGTGACTAAATTTCGATTACTTTTAAATTGTGGCTATTTTTCAATTACCACGAGTAAATCTGGCTATTTTTGAATTTCACCCATTAAAAAAGGGCTGAATTAGATAATTGGGCGCTCACTTTTTTAAATCTGCTTCATCAATATTTGGGATATTAGCAAGGCTTCCTAGAAGGAAAGGCAAGCCCAATATATTGGATAACTCTCGGAAGAAATTCAAAAATAGTCAGATTTACAAGTGGTCATGTAAAGATAAATCTGAACGAAAATACTGTTCAAAATCCGAAAAATGCTCCAGTATATTATATTGGAGTTCCAGCATAAGTATACTGGAACTTCAGCATAATATAATGGAGTTCGTATACTAGAATTCCAGCATAATATACTGGAGTTCCAGCAAAGTATACTGGTCGAGTATAATATGCTGGAAGTTCATACACAAGTGCTCGAATCTCCAGTATATTATGCTGGAACTTTCCGCGTGTTGGAGTTCCAGCATAATATGCTGGAAGTTCATACACAAGTGCTCGAATCTCCAGTATATTATGCTGGAACTTTCCGCGTGTTGGAGTTCCAGCATAATATGCTGGAAGTTCATACACAGGTGTACCGAACCCCAGTATATTATGCTGGACCGGTCTCTATTGCAGCAAAATAATGGCTATTTTTCAATGACTTGGAAAACGCTGGCTATTTTTGAATGACCAGTCCGCAAAATTGGCTAGCCCGTGCTATTTTTACATAACTCTCCAACCTATATGAAATCCATGAATACTTAAGTACTCCTTCCATCCCAATTTATGTGGCGATGTTTGACTCGGTATGAAGTTTAAGTAAGAAATTACTAAAATTTTTAGAACTTGTGGTCTAAAACAAGCTATAGATATTTGTGTGATTATAAAACATTTTATTAAGGGTAAAGTAAAAAATTTAAAATTAAGTTATTTCTGAATAAGGAAGCATGATAATCTTTTTGGAACAGATTAAAAAGGAAGCATGAGACACGCAGAGGGAGTATAAAAGACTAGGAGAATTAGGAGTTCCATACAAGTTCAGAGAAAGTTGGTCCATTAAATTGTTGGCAAACATGATACATGCTCATGAATTTAACTAAACGAACAAAGATAGTTAGGCTTTAGAAAAGCTAAGTACTATAGGCTATAGGTTGTAGGAGAAGGGAACAAACCAAAAAGAGAAGCACTCTGTTCAGGTGCCTCATCAACAAAGCAGAACAATGGAATTAGATGCATTTGGCTTTTATTCTTGCAAGTACAATTATCAAAATTACTCACACTCAAATATTCCACATGTCTCTTTGTACTAAAAAGAACAAAGAGGAAACAAAGTAAAAAAGAAAAAAGAAGTGAACAAAAGGAAAACAAAATTGAACAAAGGGAAAGAACTATCTTGACATTATGAGACACAAATTCCAAACCGATGCCTAAAATTTTCCAACATCTAGTAGTCTTGACCATAAGGGCAATATTCTATATATCATCTTTTGGTCTTTTTCCTTTGATATAACCACTCCATATTCAAAACTCACTAATTAGGTCCGTTTTCTACCGCAATTTTTTTAAATTTATTTTCAAAGTTCGAACGCAAGACCGCTGTTTAGGAGTGGATTCGTCCATCCAATCACACTCCTTGGTGATAATTAGTTTGTTTTGAGTTTGTTCTTTTTCTTTTCAAAGGAAAATACAAAATGCTAACTCATCAAATGTTGAGTTGGAAGAGAAGTTGCTTAAAGAAATGGTGATGCTTTTGGGTAATGTAATTTAGCATCTTGAAGAAGAAAAGCAAAGGGTTTAAGTTAATATTCCGTGTAAGCTTAATAACTTTGGACTCATTTTCAAAGGTAAGCAATACCAAATCCCACAAACAAGAATCATTTCTCTTTTCTCTGTGCCCATTCTATGCTAGTATTACTTAGTCTACTGGAAAAAAGATAAATCTTTTAGCAAAAATAAATATCAGGATTACGATGAATAAGACCAAAGAATTTGTTCCTTCGTTACACCAATTAAATAGAACCAGATGTTATTCCTTCTTTGTATATCCCAATTGCGCTGTCATATCCTCTGTAGTTGAAGAGTGAGTATGAGTGACTCTAAAATGCAATTATATATCTTAATTTGTTTAGAATTATTTTGTACAAATATATGGAGTTAGTTCGACTCCAAAATATTGGATTCTATCGAATTCGTAACTTGTTTGGAGGTTAAAATCTTGACCAATATAATTTCCACTATTTTGATTTTTGACCACATTTGGGACTCCTGCTTAATTTTTGCGATTGTTTAAAGTATTAAGACTCTTTTGGTTTAGGATTTGACCAGTATTTAACCTTTTTACGCATTATTTTGCGTCAGACTTTATCTTATTCCAGCTATACCAATTTCTCCCTAATGTTCTTGCATTCAAGAAATTGTTTCTTTATTGAACGATTCTGACATGTCGCTTTGGAAATCTTCTAATAGGATTTCTTAGCCATGACAAAAATCCACTTTCAAGGTGCCATATTCTTATTCTTTTAGAAATTCCTTAAATGTTTACTAGATATTTTATGGTACACCTCATTTCTTCTAATTATATATATCTAAGGACTTAAGACACGATTAATTTTGTATTGTAATCCTCTTTAGTCATTTCTCTTAAAGGAACTACGACAGTCTCATTTTCTTGATAATAAATTGATATTAATTTGGAAGAATTTATGACTTTCTAGAGGTCCCATTATCGAAAACCTTGCTTGCAACCAAGGTTCTTCATCATCCCACTTTTGGGGGGTTAAGGGATAAGTTGATTACACTATACCCAAGAATCTACATCACATATAGATTTTTATCATTTGAATTTTCCTTGCTAAAGAATAAGGGAAAAACCACTTAAGAGTGTGAATAAGTGGTCAATGAAATGGGTTGAGAACCATAAAGTGTTAGGTTCAAATTCTGCTAGTGGCAAAAAAACTTAGTGATTTCTTCTTATCAGTCTAAGCTTTGATGGATAGAGTTACTCGATAACTATACCAGTGGGAGATAGGAAATAGGTACTTCGTGGAATTAATCGAGGTATTCGCAAGCCAGCCAAGATACTACGGTTATCATATTATAAAAAAAGAAGAATAAGTGAAAAACAAAAGTATTGGCTTGATGACTAATCATTTAAAGCAAAAATTCCTTTTTCTATGGTGGAGTATGGAACTAATATGCCTTATGTCTCTCTTCTTTCATTATTCTTGATGATGTTTAAAGATTCTTCTATGGACATGGACTCATTATTTTGCAACTATCACCATCAGCATACATCCCTCTTGTTTCTTGCTTCAAGTACAAGCCACTCTTAAATCCAATACATAAAGTAATTATAACAACAGTCCAAGAATCATCTTTATATATTTATCACTGGAATTCTTTTCTTGTACTGCGATATATCCAAAAACTTTATTATAAAAAATGAAGTACAATGAAATATATCATTTTAGCCACCCTCAACACAAGCTAAGATTTGAATACTCAGAATTTCCATTTAAATGTGATGGTTGTAAGGAAGTAGGCATAGGGTCTCGTTACAAATGCACAACTTGTGACTATGATCTCCATATGCACTGTGCAATTCCTTGTGCTTCAATTACTCATCCTTTTTACAAAAAATGCTCTTTTCAGTTCCTCTCTCGTCCTCCGGGAAACGTGCCGCGCTACTGCAACGCTTGTGAGAAGGATATTACTGGATTTTTATACCATTGTAAGTCTTGTGGATTTGATCTTCATCCATGTTGTGCAAAGCTTCCTATGGTTCTTGATGATGGAGAAGTAAAGCTTTACTTGTATAGAAAGGTATGGAGCTGTTAGTCGACATATTAATAGTTAATTTTTCATGATAGATTTTCCGGCTCAATTTGGCACATTTCCCTTATCCGGAATCAATTAATAGCCTGATTGGCCGAGCTTTTTTGTGGGCAAAAAGTATTTTTGGCCAAAAATTGAGGCGTTTAGCCAAACTTTTGGAAGGAAAAAAGTGTTTTTAAGAAAAATCAGAAGCAGATTTTGAGAAGAAAAAAATATAGCTTCTCTCCAAAAGCACTTTTGAGAAAAATATACTTAAAAGTAGTTTTTAAAAGCTTGGCCAAACATTAATTACTGCTCAAAAATATTTTTCAAATTAATTAGCCAAACACAAACCGATTCTCACCAAAATATTTTTTTGAAAAGCATTTATCAAAATAAGCAGATTTTAGAAACTTGGCCAAACAGGCTATTAATTAATTTTAAAAGTTGAATCGAACTAATACACAAAATTTTTATCAATTTTCATGTTTACTCATCTAAATGACAAAAATGATAATTTATTAGTGTTTGGGTAGATATTTTACCAG